AAACAAAAAAACAGGCTAAATTTGACAGTCACAAGTTTGAGTGTGTGAACATGTCATACTGTTTACTGGAGACCGAATAGTGAAATGTCCCTTATATAAAGTACTGTTACTATAGTTACTATACTGTACTACACTGTGTAAGCAGTGTAAAACCCTGTCGGTGATTCTTTCAGCTCTCTCTCCAGTGCTAGGATGCATTTTTAAAGCAGTCACCTGTGCTCCTGTTTATACTATCCTGAGATTCTGACTGGTGGTGTGTAATGAGTTTTGCTACTGAATGCTTGCTTATGGATAATTGTGTGTTGTTTGAGTTCACACTGTGACAGTAGAGTTAATTATATAATGTGTTTTATGAATGAGAACATAAAATATCTGTAAAATGAGGCCAACTTTGGAGAAATCATTAAAAAATTGGAATGTGTGTGAGTATTTATGCATGCCAGTATAATATATAGCCTAGAATATTATAATTTCTAAACTACTAAATTAATTAGTAAAACATGATTGAAGTGTTTACTCATGGTCCATTGCTTACATTTATGAATGCATCTTTAATTTAGAATTTGGTCTTTGGATTTAACTGTTAATGCATTAAGCCATTTTTCAATTTTGTTTTCTTGGACAAAACTCTTAAACTCATAAAAATGTTGTCTTTCCATTTGGATTATACTGCCATTATCTTATACAGTATATGGCGCTTACAAGAAAGCTGTGAATTGGTGGTTCCTGGTTGTTGTTTTACAAGTTATAAGCACTTTTTCTAAAGAACATTGTAAGTTCATTGATTAGCTAATATTGCAGTGTAATTTTAATTTTACTCCTCATTTTCGTCAACATTCTGAAGATTGTGGAATATTCTGGGATTTGGAGGTGCTAAAATGTTATAACAGGTTTTTTCTTTTTGCTTAAAACAAAACAAAAAACACTAATCTATAGCACTTAAGACATTTGACAAAGTGACTGCATCTGGTCTGTGCTCTCGTTGTTAGGAGAGCGGCTGCGTGTGCAGCCTTGTCTGGTGTCTTGCTGCGCTGTTCGGCTGATGAATGTGACCGCATCGGTCCTCCTCCAGGTATGTGTTTGTTTGTTTGTTTTTTATTATACGTTTATCAGTCGTGGAAGGGATGCGAATCTCAATTTGTGTTGTTTCAGTTAATGTTTTGTGTACGGGCGTCGGCTGTTGCATATAGGCTGTGTATTTAATCATTTGGCTTCATCCTTTTCCCGCAGCGATCGTTTGGGTGGATAATATCCCCGCAGTGGCGTCACCGCTGTCTCATTCCAGGTCGAACTTCATTGAGTCCGTGTGTGCATCAGTGGTGGACAGTAACGGAGTAGTTTTATTTCGTGTACTTAAGTACATTTTTCAAGTATCTGTACTTTACTGGAGTAGTTTTATTTTGAGTAACTTTTACTTTTATTACAATATACCACAAAGCATAAGATCGTA